GGATGGGAGGGAGAGATGGGAGGGGAGGGATGGGATGGGAGGGATGGGAGGGAGGGGAGGGATGGGATGGGAGGGATGGGAGGGAGGGATGGGAGGGATTGGATGGGAGGGAGGGATGGGATGGGAGGGATGTGAGGGGAGGGATGGGAGGGGGGAGAGATGGGAGGGGAGGGATTGGATGGGAGGGAGGGATGGGAGGGATGGGAGGGATGGGATGTGAGGGATGGGATGGGATGGGATGGGAGGGATGGGATGGGAGGGATGGGAGGGATGGGAGGGATGGGAGGGATGAGAGGGATGGGATGGGAGGGATGGGATGTGAGGGATCGGAGGGATGGGAGGGATGGGAGGGATGGGAGGGATGGGATGGGATGGGAGGGATGGGAGGGATGGGAGGTGGATGGGAGGGATGGGATGGAGGGATGTGAGGGGAGGGATGGGAGGGGAGAGATGGGAGGGGAGGGATGGGATGGGAGGAGGGATGGGAGGGATGGGAGGGATGGGATGTGAGGGATGGGATGGGATGGGATGGGAGGGATGGGATGGGATGGGATGGGAGGGATGGGAGGGATGGGAGGGATGAGAGGGATGGGATGGGAGGGATGGGAGGGATGGGAGGGATGGGAGGGATGGGATGGGAGGGATGGGAGGGATGGGATGTGAGGGATCGGAGGGATGGGAGGGATGGGAGGGATGGGATGGGAGGGATGGGAGGGATGGGAGGGATGGGATGGGAGGGATGGGATGGGAGGGATGGGAGGGATGGGAGGGATGGGAGGGATGGGATGGGATGGGAGGGATGGGAGGGATGGGATGGGATGAGATGGGATGGGAGGGATGGGATGGGATGGGAGGGATGGGAGGGATGGGATGGGATGGGAGGGATGGGAGGGATGGGATGGGATGTGAGGGATGGGAGGGATGGGATGGGAGGGATGGGAGAGATGGGAGGGATGGGAGGGAGGGATGGGAGGGATGGGAGGGATGGGAGGGTTGGGATGGGAGGAGGGAGGGATGGGATGGGAGGGATGGGAGGGATGGGAGGGATGGGAGGGTTGGGATGGGAGGGATGGGATGGGATGGGATGGGAGGGATGGGAGGGATGGGATGGGAGGGATGGGAGGGATGGGAGGGTTGGGATGGGAGGGATGGGATGGGAGGGATGGGAGGGATGGGAGGGATGGGATGAGAGGGGGGGGGGTGCACCTAGCCTGGCACCTGCTCCATGTAGAGCAGGAGGGCTTCCCGGTTGTGGTCCCACTCCTCGTGCAGGAGGCTCGCGTGCGGGAACTTGTCGCAGCCAAGTTCGATCGTCACCTCGAACGTGTTGGTGTGCAGGTAGCTGAAGTCGTTCATGCCTGGGGGTGGGGGGGGGGGGGGGAGAGAAATGGGGGGAGAAATGGGGGGGGGGGGGAGGAGATGGGGGAGAGATGAGATGGGGGCGGACCAGGAGTGGTGGTGCAGCGGTTAGCGCTACGCTGCGCTATGAACCTGGCGACCCGGGTTCGATTCCCGCTCACGGTGAACCGGTCCTGGGCCTCCCCTAGGTCGACTCAGCCTTAAATGAGTAGCTGGTGCGGTGTGTAAACATCGCCACTAGGGAGACAAAGGCGGCCGGGCGTGGTGCTGGCCACCCACCCCCTCGTGTGCCGTGCCGGCCTTCACAGGTGCTCGCTAACAGCACTTGCGCCTACAGTCTGTTAAGGCTACACGGGGGATCTTTATCTTTGTGTCACTGTGTGGCGCTGTGTGTCACTGTGTGTGTGTGTGTCACTGTGTGTGTGTTACTGTGTTGGTGTGTGTGTCACTTTGTGTCACTGTGTGTCACTGTGTGTCACTGTGTGTCACTTTGTGTCACTGTGTGTCACTGTGTGTCACTGTGTGTGGTGCCGGCCACCTACCCCCTCGTGTGCCGTGCCGGCCTTTATAGGTGCTCACTAACAGCACTTGCCCCTAAAGTCTGTTCCAGGCTATACGGGGAATCTTTGTCTTTGTGGTGTGGTATGCGTAGTGTGTGGTGTGTGTGGTGTGTGTGGTGTGGTGTGTGGTGTAGTTTGTGTGGTGTGTGTGGTGTGTGTGGTGTGTGGTGTAGTTTGCGTGGTGTGTGTGGTGTGTGGAGTAGTTTGTGTGGTGTGTGTGGTGTGTGTGGTGTGTGGTGTAGTTTGCGTGGTGTGTGTGGTGTGTGTGGTGTGTGTGGTGTAGTTTGTGTGGTTGTGTGTGGTTGTGTGGTGTAGTTTGCGTGGTGTGTGTGGTGTGTGTGGTGTGTGTGTGTAGTTGTGTGGTGTGTGGTGTGTGTGTGTGTAGTTTGGTGGTGTGTGTGGTGTGTGTGGTGTGTGGTGTAGTTTGTGTGGTGTGTGTGGTGTGTGTGGTGTGTGGTGTAGTTTGTGTGGGGGTGTGGTGTGTGTGGTGTAGTTTGTGTGGTGTGTGTGGTGTGTGTGGTGGTGGTGTAGTTTGTGTGGTTGTGTGGTGTAGTTTGCGTGGTGTGTGTGGTGTGTGTGGTGGGTGGGTGTAGTTTGTGTGGTGTGTGTGGTGTAGTTTGTGTGGTGTGTGTGGTGTGTGTGGTGTAGTTTGCGTGGTGTGTGTGGTGTGTGTGGTGTGTGGTGTAGTTTGTGTGGTGTGTGTGGTGGTGTGGTGTGTGGTGTAGTTTGTGTGGTGTGTGTGGTGTGTGGTGTAGTTTGCGTGGTGGTGTGTGTGTGTGTGGGTGTGGTGTAGTTTGTGTGGTGTGTGGTGTGTGGTGTAGTTTGCGTGGTGTGTGTGGTGTGTGTGGTGTGTGGGTGTTTGCGTGGTGTGTGTGGTGTGTGTGGTGTGTGGTGTAGTTTGTGTGGTGTGTGTGGTGTGTGGTGTAGTTTGCGTGGTGTGTGTGGTGTGTGTGGTGTGTGTGGTGTGTGGTGTAGTTTGTGTGGTGTGTGTGGTGTGTGTGGTGTAGTTTGTGTGGTGTGTGTGGTGTGTGTGGTGTAGTTTGCGTGGTGTGTGTGGTGTGTGTGGTGTGTGGTGTAGTTTGTGTGGTGTGTGTGGTGTGTGGTGTAGTTGTGTGGTGTGTGTGCTGTGTGGTGTAGTTTGTGTGGTGTGTGTGTGTGTGGAGTAGTTTGTGTGGTGTGTGTGGTGTGTGGTGTAGTTTGTGTGGTGTGTGTGGTGTGTCGGTGTGTGTGGTGTAGTTTGTGTGGTGTGTGTGGTGTGTGGTGTAGTTTGTGTGGTGTGTGTGGTGTGTGTGGTGTGTGGTGTAGTTTGCGTGGTGTGTGTGGTGTGTGTGGTGTGTGGTGTAGTTTGTGTGGTGTGTGTGGTGTGTGGTGTAGTTTGCGTGGTGTGTGGTGGTGTGTGGTGTGTGTGGTGTAGTATGCGTGGTGTGTGTGGTGTGTGGTGTGTGTGGTGTGTGTGGTGTGTGTGGTGTGTGGTGTAGTATGCGTGGTGTGTGTGGTGTGTGTAGTATGCGTGGTGTGTGGTGTGTGTGTGTTGATGTGTGTGGTGTGCGTATGTGCGGTGTGTGGTGTGGTGTGTGTGTGTGATGTGGTGTGTGTGTGGTGTATGGTGTAGTATGGCGTGGTGTGTGTGGTGTAGCATGCGTGGTGTGTGTGATGTGTGTGTGTGTTGTGTGATGTGCGTGTGTGGTGTGTGTGTGGTGTGGTGTGTGGTAGTAGCGCCACACGCACTCCCCGGCACGGTAGTTTGTGTGGTGTATGTGATGTGTGGGTAGTTTGTGTGGTGTATGTGGTGGTGTGTGTGTGCTGTGGGTGTAGTTTGTGTGGTGTGTGTGGTGTTGGTGTAGTTGTGTGTGTGTGTGTGGGTGTGTGTGGTGTAGTTGGTGGTTTGTGGTGTGTGTGTGGTGTGGTGTAGTTTGTGTGGTGTGTGTGGTGTGTGGTGTAGTTTGCGTGGTGTGTGTGGTGTGTGGTGTAGTTTGCGTGGTGTGTGTGGTGTGTGGTGTGTGGTGTAGTTGTGTGGTGTGTGTGGTGTGTGGTGTAGTTTGCGTGGTGTGTGTGGTGTGTGTGGTGTGTGTGGTGTGTGGTTAGTTTGTGTGGTGTGTGTGGTGTGTGTGGTGTAGTTTGTGTGGTGTGTGTGGTGTGTGTGGTGTAGTTTGCGTGGTGTGTGTGGTGTGGGTGGTGTGTGGTGTAGTTTGTGTGGTGTGTGTGGTGTGTGGTGTAGTTTGCGTGGTGTGTGTGGTGTGTGTGGTGTGTGTGGTGTGTGGTGTCGTTTGTGTTGGTGTGGTGTGGTGTGGTGTAGTTTGTGTGGTGTGTGTGGTGTGTGTGGTGTAGTTTGGTGGTGTGTGTGGTGTGTGTGGTGTAGTTTGCGTGGTGTGTGTGGGTGTGTGTGGTGTGTGGTGTAGTTTGTGTGGTGTGTGTGGTGTGTGTGGTGTGGTGTAGTTTGTGTGGTGTGTGTGGTGTGTGGTGTAGTTTGTGTGGTGTGTGTGGTGTGTGGAGTAATTTGTGTGGTGTGTGTGGTGTGTGTGGTGTGTGGTGTAGTTTGTGTGGTGTGTGTGGTGTGTGTGGTGTGTGGTGTAGTTGTGTGGTGTGTGTGGTGTGTGTGGTGTGTGGTGTAGTTTGTGTGGTGTGTGTGGTGTGTGTGGTGTGTGGTGTAGTTTGCGTGGTGTGTGTGGTGTGTGTGGTGTGTGGTGTAGTTTGTGTGGTGTGTGTGGTGTGTGTGGTGTGTGGTGTAGTTTGCGTGGTGTGTGTGGTGTGTGTGGTGTGTGGTGTAGTTTGTGTGGTGTGTGTGGTGTGTGTGGTGTGTGGTTTAGTTTGCGTGGTGTGTGGTGTGTGTGTGGTGTGTGTGGTGTAGTATGCGTGGTGTGTGTGGTGTGTGGTGTGTGTGGTGTGTGGTGTAGTATGCGTGGTGTGTGTGGTGTGTGTAGTATGCGTGGTGTGTGGTGTGTGTGTGTGATGTGTGTGGTGTGCGTATGTGCGGTGTGTGTGTGTGTGTGTGTGTGATGTGGTGTGTGTGTGGTGTATGGTGTAGTATGCGTGGTGTGTGTGGTGTAGCATGCGTGGTGTGTGTGATGTGTGTGTGTGTTGTGTGATGTGTGTGTGTGGTGTGTGTGTGGTGTGGTGTGTGGTAGTAGCTCCACACGCACTCCACGGCACGGTAGTTTGTGTGGTGTATGTGATGTGTGGTGTAGTTTGTGTGGTGTATGGGTGTAGTATGCGTGGTGTGTGTGATGTGTGTGTGTGTGTTGTGTGATGTGCGTGTGTGTGGTGTGTGGTGCGTGTTGTGTGTGTGTGGTGTGTGTGTGGTGTAGTTGTGTGTGTTGTATGGTGTAGTATGCGTGGTGTGTGTGTGTGTGTAGTATGCGTGGTGTGTATGGTGTAGTATGCGTTGTGTATGGTGTAGTATGCGTGTGGTGTGTGTGGTGTAGTTTGTGTGGTAGTGCGACACGCACTCCCCGGCACGGTGTGCCACTCGGCTCCGTTGACGATGCCGCCCTGAAAGACGTCGCAGTGGCACACGCGCCGCTCGCGGCTCGCCATGGTGCGGTGCGTCGTGGCGTACACCACGGCCAGCCAGCGGAAGAAGCCGTCGTCCGCCGTCGGGGTCAGCTCCTGGCAAACGCAACGCACGGGGCACTGGTCTGGCGCCCGACAGGGGCGTGGCAGCCTCTCTCTTCGGCAGAGACAGAGAGAGAGAGACAGAGTTTCCACGTGGGTCCGACCCATAGTGGATTGACCTCCGTTTCTATAGGAACCCACGAGATTTACACCATTGGAACCTCATTTGCCAGTAAAACATATGATATCTCGGGTGTGGACCAATCAACTTCAAGGACAGCGCATACATTATCAGAGTTATGTTTTTTGTTTGCATTATGACTGCAGGTATTGTGGTCTATGTAAACATGACTCCTTGTACAAAAAAGGTGTCAGTTTTGTTGCCAGATAGAAGGGTAAAAAAACAATTAAACACCTCGCCTGGTCTACACACGGTACCGGTCTAGCTCCCGACAGATGCGTGGCAGCCTCTCTCTCTGGGAGAGACAGAGAGAGAGTTTCACACTTTCCACGTGGATCTGACCCATAGTGGATGGACCTCCGTTTCTAGAGGAACCCCCAAGATGTTAAACACCTCGCCTGGTCTACACGCGGTACCGGTCTGGCGCCTGACAGATGAGTGGCAGCCTCTCTCTCCAGCAGAGACAGAGAGAGAGAGAGTTTCACACTTTCCACGTGGGTCTGACCCATAGTGGATTGAATTATGTTTCAAGAGGAATCCCCAAGATGTTAAATACCTCGCCTGGTCTACACACACACAGTACGCACACAGTACACATAACACACAGTACAAAGTACACACAGTACACACACACACACACAGTACACACACACAGTACACACAACACACAGTACACACACACAGTACACACACAGTACACACACACAGTACACACACAGAGCACACACACACAGTACACCCACGCACTGCCCACCTGTGCTGCCCAGTAGGAGCGTGCCATGTCGAATGGGTACGAGACCACGAGCTCCCCGCCGTGCAAGTTTGCGCTCAGCACAAACGGGATCCGCTCCATCCACGCGATGACCGCTCGAGTCTCAGGAGCCACCTACACACACAGTACACACACACAGTACACACACAGTACACACACAGTACACACACAGTACACACAGTACACACACAGTACACACACACAGTACACACACACAGTACACACACAGTACACAACACACAGTATACACACACAGTACACACACAGTACACACACACAGTACACACACAGTACACACCAGTACACACACAGTACACACACACAGTACACACACAGTACACACACACAGTACACACACAGTACACACACAGTACACACAGTACACAGTCAGTACACACACAGTACACACAGCACACACAGTACACACACACAGTACACACACAGTACACGCAGTACACACAGTACACACACAGTACACACACAGTACACACAGTACACACACAGTACACACACACAGTACACACAGTACACACACAGCACACACACACAGTACACACACACAGTACACACACAGTACACACACACAGTATACACACACAGTACACACACAGTACACTAGGCAGTACACTAGGCAGTACACACACAGCACACACAGTACACACACAGTACACACACAGTACACACACAGTACACACACAGTACACAGTACACACACAGTACACACAGCACACACAGTACACACACACAGTACACACACAGTACACGCAGTACACACACAGTACACACACACAGTACACAGTCAGTACACACACAGTACACACAGTACACACAGTACACACACACAGTACACGCAGTACACACACACGTACACACAGTACACACAGTACAACACAGTACACACAGTACACACACAGTACACACACACAGTACACACACACAGTACACACAGTACACACACACAGTACACACAGTACACACACACAGTACACAGTACACACACAATACACACAGTACACACACACAGTACACACAGTACACACCAGTACACACACACAGTACACACACACAGTACACACAGTACACACACAGTACACACAGTACACACACACAGTACACACACACAGTACACACACAGTACACACACAGTACACACACACACAGTACACACAGTACACACACAGTACACACAGTACACACACAGTACACACACACAGTACACACAGTACACACACACAGTACACACAGTACACACACAGTACACACAGTACACACACACAGTACACACACAGTACACACACACAGTACACACAGTACACACACAGTACACACAGTACACACACACAGTA